GCATTTTTGGATTTAGCTTGGTCTAAAATGCTGACAGTTTCTCAGTTAAAACTATGGTTAATTCTGTCCATCAAATCTGTTATATATTTGTCCAATTAATTTGTTAAAAGCAACAATTCCATATGATAAATGAGTTTTTAAAAGGACATGTTTTATTTTCTAAAGCTTTGACAATAAAAGTATCTTACATCTTCAAGCCAACATCTGTCAAAGCAGCCATTATAGCTTACAAAATACTGGGAGCATAAGTTATACTTTGCATGTAACAAAAGCATTGTCTAAAGCATTTAGAAGTGAAAATGTACTTCCTCTTCCTCATTATGCCCCTCAGGACTGGAGAAGTGGGAGGGAAGTTCACTGCCAGGTTTTCTCTATCCTTTTCGATTTTCAGCTGTTATGTGTGATAGATGGTGTTTTGGGTATAGGACCTTGGAGCCTCTCTTAAGAAAAGAGAAGTAGAAAGATAGAATGCAGGCTCTGTGATTGGCAGGTGATATAAAAGCACTGGAGCGGTCTGGCATAAATACTAAGAGCTTGCTTTTAGTAAGCCTTCAGTTTGCTGCCATTTCCAGTAACACATCTCAGGGACCCTCAGTCATCATCATTATTTAGGAACAAGCAGTCAGAGCTCCAAGACGGGCTTTGACATTTGGGAAGAACGAGATGTCTTTTGAAAGCACACTTTCCTCTTAGATGATTGGAGATCACTTGTATTTCTCCCAGCCTTGCAACTTGTTGGCATAATCTTTGATTTGCCTATTGTTCCAAGGCTGTTGTTCTTTTAGTTTATATTAATATGTCTATATCCCAGCTTTCTTTTTAAAACACTCACAATGGGGTATAGGCCTCTTCATCCCACTGCTATTTTTATCCTCATAATAGCCCTGTGAGGGAGGCTAGGCTTGCCCAGTGGAGTTTATATCCAAGTCGGAATTGGAAACCATTTCCCTACTCCAGGCTTGACATCCTAAGTGTAGCAGGCTGTAGCAGGCTGGCGGGCTGAATGAGCTCTAAAAGAACTAAAGAAAAAGGGATACCCATGAGTCAAATTTCATGGACATGTCCACAGTGTTTGGCATTGGCTTCTTCCCAGATGTTTTCGTTGCCACCTCCAGATTAATCTACAGTCCAGTATATGTAGTCCTCACTTAATGACCACAATTGGGACTGGAATTTAGGTTGTTAAGCGAATCATCACATGACCAGACCCGATTTTACTTTCTTTTAGCCATGGTTGTTAAGCGAATCATGTGGTCATTGAGTGAATCATGCGGTTCCCCATTGATTTTGCTTGCCAGAAGCCAGCTAGGAAGGTCGCAAGTGGCAATCACATGACCCCAGGATGCTGCAACTGTCATAAATGCAAGCTGGTTGCCAAGTATCTGGATCACAATCACGTGACCATGGGGGCACTGCGACGGTTGTAACTTTGGGCCATCGTAACTTCAAACGGTCACTAACAAACAGTTGTTAAGCGAGGACTACCTGTATTTACAAGTAGCCTCCTGTCCAAGTACTAACCAAGTTGGTGTTTGCTTAGCCTTTTGGTATTAGTCCCTAGCCTGGCTGCATGGATAGAGTTGTATATTTGTCTTTTTCTGGCCATACGTGACCAGGCAGATATCAGTTTCCGAGCCTGTTTTATCTGAGGGGAAAATGCCAAAGTGTTTCCTGTCTGGTACCCTCTAGCTGTATAGATGGACACTTGGTATCCATTCCAGTTAGCATAGTGTTGGCTATGCTTGCCAAGAACCATCAGTGTTACTGTCACACATCTCTGGAGGACCAGTTTATAGAAGACTCTTGTGGGTGCTCTCAGTCATGTGCTACAGTTGTCTGAGCTTCTTAACCTGCAAGCCAATAGCTGCCTTGCCTTAGCCCTTTGGTTAAGCCAATGTATCTATTTATTCCTGAGCCCAAATTATGAGCACTTTGCCGTGTTGCTGCCTGATTTTTTTGTAGTTAACCTTTAGGTTGAAATAGCGTCCATGTGCATGTCTCCAGAAGCCCTTGCAGAGACAGAAAGAGTATCCAAGCTGGTGTCTTTCCTGATATAGGTAACATCACAGCAATTATTATTTTTGGAGATATTGGTAGATAAATCTATTTGGGAATGATTGTCAGAAAATGCTGTACTCAACTTTCATGGTTCACTGGAGAACAATGAAAACTGAAAGGTCAGGGGGAAAATATGTGAGGAAATCATTCAAATTCAGATTTGCCATTATAAAGCCTTTCAGAAAATGCCATAGCAGGCAAATAGTGTGTGAAAACTAAATTTCATGTTTTATTAACATACTGTCTGCTACTCATTTTTCTTTATTTCCTTCATGTGTGTTAAATGCTTAGTAGATGTTCATTCAAGAAGTTTGTAAATCAAGAATGTGGCCCAGAAATATCATAATTCACTTCCCTTAATTTTTTTATTGTAGTATTAATGTAGAGTCACATTATTTACTTTGTGTTTACTAGTAAAACTTTGACCCATGGGACTGTGGGTTGCCACTTGGCATTCTGGAAGTGTGCTTTGAAAGTCCTGAAGCAGTAGGTTTAGAGAGCAACTGCACCTCCTCTCCACCCTTCCCTCTCGTTACCCCTTAGATACTATGGCAAGGAGGGCAGGGTAATCTGAACTTTGCAGGGGACAGGAGTAGGTGTGGCTGCCTTGTCTCTCTTTCATGCCAAGGTTTTGGGGTGCTCTTTTCCTTGGATGTCTGGTATAATGGTTGACAGTCAGTCTGCATTGCATTGGATGGAATACTTTTTTTTTTTGCTTAAATTACACATTATTAAAGGTAAATATATAACAGCATTGTAGAGGAGACTTCAATGCTTTAGCTAATTAGTATAAACCCACCCTTTGAGAAGACACCCCCCCCACCTCAGGTGTTTGAGCAAAAAAAATGCAAACCCAGGTTATTTTGCTACCAGAAGCAGAGCCTGATAGGTGTCCCCTCTGTCTTCAAGCTGAGGCCAGGGACTTTGAAGTCTTTCTACATTATATAATCCTGCTGCTTGCTGGGTCTGGTTGTGTTTGGAAGAGCTTATTTACTGCAAGTACATTGTAGCCTGGTGAAGAGGTCAGAGCAGCTCAAGCTCAGTTCCAAGGTGTTCTTTCTAGCAGATGGTTTTAAGGGCCCCATCTGTATTCCTGCAGTGGAAAAACTGAGTTGGGGGGGAGCGTTGAGTTAGAGAATTGCATGCTTAAACACAAATTGAATGTATTACCTTGTTAATTATGTTACTTTTTTCTGTTCTTTGATTAGTCTAAGATGATTAACACAAGATGGGAAACAGGAGGTGCACTACTACATTTCTCTTGGATTTTCTAGAAATGTATGGTGCTACTAATGTTATCTACCAAAACTGCCATGAAGATTCTGTTTGTTACAGTTAATGGAGAAGAGTCCTGCTGGGCAACTTAAGAAGGGAAGGGTGAAGTAAAGAAAAGGGAGAAGGGTGAATATTGTAGGAGGAGTGGAAAGATGGAGAAAAGTCCCTGGCAGCCACGTCAATTGCCTGTTAATCCTCCTCACTGACACTGCATTTTCTGTCTGACATTGAGTTCATAAGGGTGATGGCTACTGGTGTTGTATCAGTGATTGGAACTAGCTTACATATTTATTCCAGCCAAGTTAGAAGCCAGTAGTAGGATTGTCTCAGAGGCCCTACTCTATGTAATACTCCAAGGCACACTTTCTCCATGCAGGAAACTTGGTTTAACCATCTTAATAGCTGCGGATAGACCTGTCCTTCAGTAATGTATGTAATAGTGGGAAAAAATAACAGGAAATGATCTATTATACTAAGATTTGCTAGACATTGATGAGAGTTGTTGACTTTCACTTCCACTTTTTTAGGAACATCAACAATAAAAGTAATTAAAACATGGTGTTGAATTGAAGAAAGACCTGACAGAAGTAGATTTTTATATGACAAACTTAAACTTAGCTCATTCCTAGTACTTGTGTTTATTTCTTTTGTACCTGGCTCCAGTTACTAAATCTTGCAATTCTTGTAAAACAAACAAATAATGGAGAATAGCAAAATAAATAGATCGCTGTTCTAACTACAGTTACAACTGTCATTGTTGTAACAGTTATGCTCTTCTTAACATTTTAATTGCCACAGATGTTTTCATTCATATTTGCATAGCGATAGATTCTATAATAGCTTCTATTTTAAACAAGCAAACTTCTATGGTTTGTGATGGTACTCCGGCTTTTATTCTCATTTCATTTATTTATTTTTTAATCAGAAAGACCTTAGAGTTAAACCTGTTCAGCTCACTCAGCTATATCCCTCTCATGCACTAACTGATTAAGCAAGAGTAAGGTGAAGAAGATAGGATACTGTGGCTGTTTTGAGCAAATTAATTTCCAAGGTTGGTTATCATTTTGATAGTTTGATTATACCTTTGAAAAGTCTTTTAAATTAATTTTGCTTTATGGCTGCTATCAAATCAATTTGAGTATATTACTAAATGTTCCCCTTTTATTTTCCAGTCCACCTAAACCAACTGTGTTTATTTCTGGTGTCATTGCAAGGGTAAGTCCTCATCTTCAATAATTTTCAGTTGTTTTAAAGTGAAAATATGAATTACAACTGTTTGCTAAAGTTTTTGGTCAATGTTTTTCCTTACCAAGGATACTATTTAACCTAATATAATTCTTTTTGTTATACCAGATAAAAAGTAACAAATATACAATTCAATTGTGTAATTCCCATTATCTTGGAAAAGAAAAATACTTGTTTATTTCCGCTTTTTAATAGGATGTGAATTATCCCCATGGGTTACATATATAAAAATACTATCAGGTGAACTTCTTTTTTTACAATTTCTAGCCCCCCGTGTTTATAAATTTTATCACGGCAACATATACTGGCAGCAATAAAATCATCACAGTTTTATAGTTAAGAAACTTGGAAAATGAAAAGCAAAAAATATCTGTATTGGGCCATCCATAGGTGAGCACCACTTTTATAGTACCAGCCAAAATATCCGAAAATAGTAAAGTTTCTGTGTTCTTCAAAACTACCTAACCTGATATCCTGGAGGGCTGGAAAATTTCTGCCTTGTGGTGTGAAACTAATAAAAGTTAATGCCTAAGTGTATATTTTGGAAAGTAGAGAGTTCTTTGCCAGGCACTGAAAATATAACAAAGTGAATAATAGGAGAACCTCTCAAAACAAACAAACAAACAGCAGTCTTGTGGCACCTTGTAGGCCCATAAATCTATTACAGCATAAGGATGTTGACTGGAAATTGTGAGGCTTGTGAAAAACACCCCAAACATCTGAAGGGTACCAGGTGGGGGAAAGTTGCTTTAGAGTGTGTAAATACAGCTTTTTTCAGTTTTATTCAGATAACTATTCAGAGAATAAAAATTCAGAAAGAAATAGTTTTTTCTTGCTTACACTTATACCCAGGTATGCATACAAAATCATATATCAGCTTTTTTAAAGTTATACAGTTATTTACTTCAAATATAATCAGATGTGTAACTTCTATAAGAGCCATCATTTATTTTTTAGAAGTAAAACTTCAGTTTCAGGTGCAAATATTAAGCACACTTCAATTTTCACTTGTGTTTCAAAAGCCCAGCAAACTGGAAGTTCAGTGCCCAATACCTGAAAAGACTTTGCTGAACCTTGTAGACTTTAATGGATTGAGAATTTGCAGTACTTACTGATTCATACAGACATAATTCTTATTCTAAACAGTTCCTGCAACTGTAGTATTTATGGAGGCAGAAATTGAGCAGGTCCACAATCTATTCGCAATCAATTTTAACAAATATATCCCATGGATTCCTGATGGTCGAATGCTGACATATACTGCCTTTTTGAAGCATAAGTGCTTGGGAGAAAGAGCGGGACAAGAGTTTGATGCATGCTGCTTAACAAGCAAGGAAAATTTTAGGCTTGCAAAGCTGACTAAAACTGACAGAAAGTATTAAGATCCGCTTAGAAGGATTGATAAACACGGCTTATATAATCAGAAAAGCCAAGTCTGGCAGATTTTTTTTTTCCAGGAATTGGGAGAGTAGCTAGAAACTGGAAGAATCATGCTCAGATTCACTGATGAGTTTGCCCATGAAATCAGCTAGCCTTCATCAGCACCACATCTCAAGCTTCTTGTCATTCCTTGGCAACACTATCATTGCTGTTGAGGGAAACGCATAAAGGCAGTAGATAGACTTTCTCTTCTGATGTTCTAAGCTCAACAGTGCTCTGAACAGCAGTGTGACTTTTACTAAAGTACTTTGCCCAAAGTGACTTCAGTGGTTAATAGCAATTTAAATGACCCCACATATAAGTAAATGTTCGTTTCACATTCCCAAATTCAGTCACCAACCAGAATTCTTCTCCCCAAAGTGTATCATACTGTTCATGCTTAATATAGAAGGGAGCCACTGGGGCCTCCTAATAAGTCTGCTAAAGTATTTGAAGGATGTTCTAGCCTGCTTGAAGCTATGTGTGCAGACTCAAAGGCTGTTAACTCCAAATTCCAAGATTCTGAACTTCTGACAGACAATTAATCTTTACCAACCTGAAATCAGTAATCTAAGGTCATTTCAGCAATACATCATTGGTCTAAAAAAAAAAGGGAGGCTCTAACTGCTGAAATGTATGTGTGATGTTTTTAATGCTGATGTGTTTGTTCTTTAATTAGGGTGATAAAGACTTCCCTCCAGCTGCAGCACAAGTGGCCCATCAGAAACCACATCCCTCTGTGGAAAAACTTCCTCCCTCACAACATGTCAACCAATATATTCACCAGCCCCGCAAATGAATTGCCTGTCCCAGACCAGCCACGGTATTTTGCAAATGGAAAGATTAAGAGATTCCTTCTACCAGATCTTTTAAAAACGGATATCTCCTGTTTTTGCCTTAATTGCCTATGGTTTAAATGGTTTAATGAAAGGGGAGGGGAGAGCAGAAAGGGGGGGGGAATCACTTCAATCATCCCAGCTGAAAAGCTGAGTCTTGTGTACTGCCAGTGAAAAATGTTATGTTCATAGCAATGCAACACACTGCAGATAGTTTAGGTTAACAATTTCTTGGAATAATTATTTTAAACTTTTTCTATTCCTGGATGTTGGCATTCCAGGAACATGTAACATAAGGAAGTCATAATGGCTTATATCTTTTTCCTGGTCTTTTCTAAAGAAATTTTTTAAAATATGTGTGACTCAGATTTCATTTTGATATTTCTTGTTTTGTTCTTAAAAGTATTTGAGGAAGAACCAGCTGCTTAATTTTATTTTTTTAGTGGATAATCTGAAAAGACTAGACATTTCTCTTACAGTATGTGGTCCTTTAGGAGAACCATCCCACAGCTTCTGGCAACATAGCCTAACATGCTGGTTGGCCTGGTTGGTTCTCTGCATTTCTTTCCAAATTAATAGAAGAATGAACAAAAATTTAATTAAAGGTTGTGTAGATCTGCATGTTGCTCCATTTTTAGGTACTCCTGAAGGATTGGCACTTTTTCACCTTTTCAAAACAGTTTTTATATATGCAGGAATCAGTTGTGCAATCTTTCCTACAAATAAAAACTTTAGATTACAGTACATGGAAAGTTGGCTAAAATGATTTTTTCTGGGAATCTTTATGTACAAGTAGCTCTTGAATGAACCATGAATGAATATTCACATTTAAAATGCCCTATGTGTAATCTAAAATACTATCGACCATATTCAATTACTGCAAGTTTGATATAGTTATACACTGACAACTAAAGTTTGTGCTAGGTTGTGGTGAAAACTGAAGTAACATATGTTCATGAGAAAGCAGTCTACTTGCTTCTTTGTTCATAGCAAGCAGAACAGAGGCCAGCTCTCATGTGATAAGAGATTGATGATGAAAATCTGTATCCCTGTGTGTGTCAGATGTATCTGTTAAATTCAGTGGGAACCAGGTGAGCAGTAAAATGCACATCTGGATGCAAAGTTGCAGCAGCTATGTATGAGGAATATCTTTGCTGAATTGGAGAAAGAAGTAAACTAAGTAACCTACTTAGTAAAACTTGGTCATGCATACACAACTATACTACAGCTGCATAATTTTAAAATCATTCCATTCTATGTAATCAAGTTTCATTTGCTTTTTTATAGGTACTTTAATTTTTAAATGATTTAAGTACATTAAATCCCTTTTAAATTTTCAAACAAGCCATTTTAATGATTTTCAGAAAAGTTATCTGTTAATGCATCATTGTTGCAAGTGCTTTTCACTCCTTTTGGGCTTAGGAGAACCATTTACTTTTAACGACAACATGACAAAGTGATAAGAAGAAGGAATTTTAATAATAAAAAACTTTCCTGGAAATATTGCTAAATAAGAATGTGTAATTATTTTATCGCTGATGTTATTTTGAAACAAATAGAAAATCACAACAGGATCAAGTTGATTTCTTCCAAGTCATTGGTGGTAGATAAGACACTGCACATGGAAACTTCACAAAATCATAGTGTTTATTTTCTCAGGGTATCAGATATACTACTTGCTTTCTCCACTTCAGATGCTTCTCACCTAGCCTTTCAGCAAACAAGGATCCCAGATAATTCTCCACTTTCACATGTGAATGAGTATTTTTATTACGGTCACTAACCAGACTTGCAAACAAAAACACATTAAAAATAAAAATAAAGTAAAAACAAAACAAGATAAAATATTGCAATTGGTGGTGGGTTTGTCAGTGGATAAGCAAAGTCTGCCCAATTTTACAGGCAGTATAACAAAATTTAGCTATGTTCAAGGAGGTTAAATCATACTGATCTGATAACAACAACTGTACATAAAAAACAGAATTTCCCAGGTGTTTTACCAGGTAAAGAGTTATAAGGCGGATCCTTGAATCCTTATAGAGGATACAGTATAGCAGGACATCAGTTGT